AATAAATCAAAAATTAGCTGGGTGTGGTAGCACGCGCCTGTAGTTCCAGCTACTTGGAAGGATTGCCGGAGCCCAGCAGGTCGAGGCTGCGGTGGCCGGGAGCGGCCACTGCACCCCAGTATGGGCGACAGAGTGAGACTCCAACTCAAAAAAACAAAAAGACTTGAGCTGATATTTCTCCAAAGGCTACAGACAAATGGCCAATAAGCACATGAAAAATTGTTTGGCCAGGTGCATGGTGGCTCTTGCAAGGAGACAGAGGTGGGAGGATCACTTGAGGCCAGGAATTGGAGACAAGTCTGAGCAACAAAGCCAGACCACATCTCTACAAAAAATTTAAAAATTCGCCAGACATGGTGATGCATGCCATAGTCCTAGCCTCAAGAGGCTGAAATGTGAGGATCACTTGAGTGGAGTTGGAGGCTGCAGTGAGCTATGATTGCATCACTTAACAAAAAAAAAAAAACGATAGTCACCATTAGTCATCAGGGAAATACAAATCAAAACCACAATGAGATATTACTTCACACCTATTAAGACAGCTGAAACCAAGAAGACAGACACTAAAAAGTGTAGATTAGAAATTTTTTTTTTTTTTTTGAGTTAGAGTCTCACTGTCGCCCAGACTGGAGTGCAGTGGCCGCTCCTGGCCACCACAGCCTCGACCTGCTGGGCTCCGGCGATCCTTCTACCTCAGCCTTCCAAGTAGCCGGAATTACAGGCATGTACTACCACGCCCCACTGATTTTTTGATTTATTGTAGAGATGAGGTCTCACTGCCCAGGCGGGTCTCGAACCTGTGGGCTCAGGCAATCCATTCACCTCAGCCTCCCAAAGGCGCAGGATTACAGGCTGAGCCACTGAGCCCGGCGAGATGAGAAATTTAAACTCTCATAAATTGTTAGGATTACAAAACAGTATAACCATTTTGGAAAACAGTCTAGTTGTTCCTCAGAAGACTAAACATAAAGCTACCATATGACCCAGCAATTCCACTTCTAGGTATATACATAAGGGAATTAAAAATATATGTGCACACAAACATTTATACACAAATGTTCAACATTATTCATAATAACCAAAAAGTGAAAACAACCTGAAAGTTCATCAACTGATAAACAGATAAAATGTGGTATACCTATATGATACAATATTATTGGCAATAAAAGGGAATAAAGTACTGATTCATGGTATAACCTGAATGAACCCTGAAAACACTATGCTAAGTAAAAGAAGCAATCACAAGAGCATATATTTATTGTATGATATCATTTATATGCAATGTTCAGAACAGGGAACAGGCAAACCTACAGAGAGAAATAAAATTAGTGTTTGGCAGGGGCTGGGGTGGAGTGTGGAACATGGCAGCTAATGGATATAAAGTTTCTTTCTAGTATGATGAAAATATTCTGAAATGGGATTATGGTAATGGTTGCAGAAATCACTAAATTGTACACATGAAAAAGGTGACTTTATAGCATGTACATTGTTTTGTTTTGTTTTGAGTTGGGGTCTCACTCTGTTGCCCTGGCTGGAGTGCATTGGCACAATCATGGCTCACCGCAGCCTTGACCTCCTAGGCTCAGGGAGTCTTTCTGCCTCAGCCTCCCAAGTAGCTGGGACAAGTGAATACTACCACACCTGGCTATTTTTTTATTTTTTGTAGAGACAAGGTCTTACTATATTGCCCAGAATTCCCTGGCTCAAGCAATCCTCCCACCTTAGCCTACCAAAGTGCTGGGATTACAGGCATGAGCCACCACTCTCAGCCTATCACATGTAAATTGCATTTCACTAAATGTTTTTAAGAATGCCTAACATTAATATTTTACACATGTATTTCTTAGAACACACACACACTCTTACCTTGAAGCCACAGCCCAGCCTGGCAAGCCAAACCTCTCATAGTCCCCACCATAAATGTCCCGCACTAGTTTATCCACTTTGGTGCTATCTCCACGAGAGGCCATTTCAAGAGCTTCTTCAAAAGTGGTGCAGCCAGTGAGAAGACAGCAGAGACCAAAAAATGTTCCTCCTCCGAGACTGGGATTAAAAACAAACAACACAGTATTACAGTATTTTTTTTAAAAAGAAATAAAATAGTAACATGTATGGTCCCCCAAACCACATTCATGTATCAATCCACTCGTTCCTCAACCCAATCATGCAAATGCAAATGACACTGGGAGGAAATAAATACGTGGAGAAACGAAATGCCTGATACACATCTGGAAGATACACATTCACGGGAACAACAAGCCAAGTGGCAAAATGTAGGGCCCACCTTCCTGCGGGCATTCCATGCAAGTTGGCTGGCTGCTGAGCATGAAGAACCTCAGATGCAAATCAGCCCAACACACCCTGTCCCTCTCCGGTGAGCTTTCTCATCCAAGTGCTTTGTCAGCCCGGTTCATCAGTCCCCCACCCCACCCCATCACACTCCTCCAGTAATGAGTTTTCTCCCCCAAAATTACTCTTCCCATTCTTAAACTCATGCCTGTTTTAAAAACTTATTTATCCCAAACCCCAGACCTTTATTTTTCCTCAAATGACCACTAATCCTTAAGTCAAAGCATATTCATTCTCTTCTTCCGCCTACTCCTCTCTTTTCAAACTATCCTCCCCCAGTCATTTTTCTACTGATCAGTAACCTCAGCTTCTATATCCTATCCTTCTAGATCATATCCTCTAGCCACATATGTGTATGTGTGTATGTACGTACATACACATAAGTATAACATCTATACAAGTTTCAAAGCTGTGACTTTTCCCTTGCCTTTTCCTTATAGGTGCTACCTAGTAACCTGGGCTACTTCGTATATGCTCACCATAAACTATCTTGAGGGCAAAGGCTACAATGAGTGATGCTATATTTTATGAAACACCTATGGTAATAAAATCTTGAGCAACAGAGATTAAAGAAAAGTAGGTCATAAAATCAGAATTTTCAAAGAGAGGCATTTGTTTACATAATCTTAGAAAAACTTGCATTTTTTTCATAATTTTAACATGTCCTTGAAGGTATAGTTGCATGCAGTGCCTGAAAACTTAATTAACCTATTATGATATTAAGAATAAACAATGACTTCTAAATGAAAGATTTACCTGGTACCTGTGACACGCTTGTAATTATCTTTGGAATATACTGCTAAGATGCTAACTCCTGAGCCAATGTTCACCAAAAGCAGAGGGTATGGATTTTTCAAATCAAATGGTAACTTCTGACATTTTTCAGAATCAGCAGGGTTTTCAAAGTAATAGCACTGTGACCGTCCATTAAATCCAACTGAGTCAATGTATAAAATTCCTTTTATTAAGCAATCTAGCTCGTCCAGTTTGCAAAGCTGAAGATCACCTATCTGTAATGAAATAAGAATATACTCAGACCTTTTAAAAAAGCCAACATAAATAAAAATTCCATTCAATAAGACATCCCCTCTACGTTAAACCATAAAATACTCACAGATGTGTATTATTTATGCATGCTTTACAGAAAAATTGTAGAACCACGAACATATGGATGGACTACTTAGACAGATTCTTGCCCACATAGACCTAAATACACTCTCCATACACACCAATGCAGCAGCCAAAGATGTGTACCAAAAACCACAAGTGAGCACTTATCAACTTGTCAAGCAGAAAACAAGATCTCTACTGGTAGGGACAGTGGGGCAGGTGCACAGCTGAGGCCACAGCACTATCAGAAAGCACCTGGTGACACAGAGCAGGAGCCACAGGATTTACATCGCCTTCCAAAAGACCATCTTCAAGGTTACAGCACAGCATCAAAATGGCCACAATTTAGTATTTAACAACTGGAAGCCAAAGAACTGAAAGTGTCCAATTAGATAATATTGCTATCTAAACTAGTTACGGCCTCTTGGGGAGCAAGGGAATTTTAGCAGCAACGAAATTTAGACCATTTTAATCAATTTAATTCCATTTAAGTAATTAATAAAGGAATGATTAAACTGTTATTCATATTATGAGGGACTATACAGTAATTTAAAATGAAGAGGATGTATCATGTGCTGAAGTGGAAGAACTCCAAGACATGTTATTAGTCCAAAAAGCAAGTTGAGAAACATTTTCTAAAATATGAACGAATCGGTGTTTTTAAAACCATATTTATATGCATATGTATGTGTCATACAGTCATGCACAGAAAAATTTAAAAGAGACATGTAAACTTTTAACAGCGGTGACTGGAGAGATGATACAGATGTCCATGTTTGGCTCTGTTATATTCTAATCCACTGTGGGAGATGAAAAAGTTAATAAGTAATTTCATCTTAGTCCTTAATTAATCCATAAGAATATCAAGTCACTTCTCTCACCAAACCCAAGCCCCTTAGGTGTTTAATCATTGTCCTTATTTCTTTCTTTTTTTTTTGAGTCAGAATCTCACTCCATTACCCAGGCTGGAGTGCAGTGGCGGGAATCACTGAAGCCTTGACCTCCTGGGCTCAGGCAATCCTTCTGCCTCACTCCCAAGCAGGTGAGACTATAGGCATGTGCCTATACTCTTATTTTGGGGGATATAATCATCATCTTATTTTGGGGGATTTTTTGTGGAGACGAGGTCTTGCTACGTTACCCAGACTAGTCTTGAATTCCTAGGCTCAAGCAATCCTCCCACCTCAGCCTACTAAAGTGATGGGATTACAGGCGTGAGCCATCACAACTAGCCATCACTGTCCTTATTTCATCTGGCCACGCCCTCATACCAAGATGAATTCTTTGCTGACTTCCTGACATTTACATCTCAAAGTACCAGCATTATCAATTCAAAACCCAATCATTTTATACTGGTGGTCCCTCTGGAATCCAGGTAGTTTTCTGTCACTGTATGTCAAATGAATTTCTCTGTCATTCCCATAATTCATATTATCCTAAAATATCCTGATCTGCTATTATTCCTAATGAATTTCAACCTAACTGACATATTTAGGTGATTGAATCCTAAAGTCACTTCACTAACCCAAGTTACTCAGGAAACAGGTGTAGCGCCAAAAAGCAAGTGCAATATAAAGCAAGGACATCTGATTCACATTTTAAAAGAAACAGGGTAGCATGTTGCACATCCGTAGTTACAGTTACTAGCGAGGCTGAGGCAGGAAAATCGCTCGAGTCCAGGGAGTTTTAGGCCAGCCTGGACAATATAGTGAAACCCTGTCTCTAAAAATTAATTAATTTCTTTAATTAAAAAAAAAAACAAAAAACAGCCAGGCACGGTGGCTCACATCTATAATCCCATGACTTTGGGAGGCCGAGGTGAAAGGATTGCCTGAGCCCACAGGTTTGAGACCACCTGGGCAACTTGGCGAGACCACATCTCTACAATAAACCAAAAATCAGTCGGGCATGGTGGCGCACGCCTGTAGTCCCAGGTACTTGGAAGGCTGAGGCAGCAGGATAGCGGAGCCCAGCAGGTCGATGCTGGGGTGGCCGTAAGCGTGCCACTGTACTCCAGCCTGGGTGATGGAGTAAGACTCCAACTCAAAAAGCAAAAAAAAGAAACAGGGTAAACTCAGCATTAAAAAAAAAATAGTTCACTGTGGTTCAGTAAATATTACTCCTAATGTAAAAGCAGGATTTAAGAGGCATTTCATTTCTTTTTTTTTTTGAGTTGGAGTCTCACTCTGTCACCCAGACTGGAGTGCAGTGGCCGTTCCCAGCCACCGCAGCCTCGACCTGCTGGGCTCCGGCAATCCTTCCGCCTCAGCCTTCCAAGTAGCTGGAACTACAGGCGCGCACTACCACGCCTGGCTAATTTTTTATTTATTGTAGAGATGAGGTCTCGCCAAGTTGCCCAGGCGGGTCTCAAACCCGCGGGCCCAGGCAATCCACTCACCTCGGCCTCCCAAAGCGCTGGGATTACAGGCTGAGCCATCAAGCCCAGCCGGCATTTCATTTCCATACAGTTTTTAAGAACAGTACCAGTGCATACAAACAAGAAACCCCAATAGCCTAAGAACCAATTATTAAGCTATAAGATCCACTTTGCACCCTTCTTCAACTACCACACAAAGCTGAACCTCTGCTAACAGCCTGAATGGTTTTCAAATATGTTCCAAAGGGCACCTCCTTAGGGTCCTGGAAACAGGGTCCACTCTGAGGCTTCCTCAGAAGGGAAACAGCTCTTCTGCTACCTCCCCCTTTACTCACAGGTAGAAAAGAAGCCCCTGAAAACCAAGAATCAAAAACAATCCAAGCCGGGCTCGGTGGCTCAGCCCGTAATCCCGCACCTTTGGGAGGCTGAGGTGAGTGGACTGCCTGAGGCTGCGGGTTCGAGACCCGCCTGGGCAACTTGGCGAGACCTCATCTCTACAATAAAATCTTTT